AACATAATTTTCGACATTTCAGTGACGTACTGATTTTTTAAATAATTTTTTTCTTAAAAAAAATAATCCGAAAATAAATAAAAATGTACTGACGTGGCAAGACAGGTACGGTCCGGCGTCTCCGACTCCAAGAAGCAACACCTGACAGTCCACGGTTCTACTCTGAATAAAACCGCCCCCATCCCGTCGATGCTTTCTCCCCGTTGCTTCACCACTCACCAACCCTCAATTATTTCCCGGAACCTGTAAATTTTCCATGGCTTTCCCCCAATCGATTCATCTGCTCTTCGTTTTCACGTTGATTGTCTTCCCTCTTTCTCACTCCCTTCCATTCATCGTCCTCCACGGTACGGATTCCTTCTTGTTTCCGATTCGACCCATCCGTTGAATTCTGTGTTACTGTTTCGAGTTTTGAAAATTTCTTGTTCCTGTTTGATGTTATTGTTGCAGGTATTGGAGATCAGTGCTCCAATCGTGGAGTCAAACACTTCACTGAGCTTCTCAGCAACTACTCCGGTTCCCCTGGATATTGCATGTATGGCTCGATTCCTTTCTTTTATCCTACTCTTTTGTTCTTGTTTGTCAAAATAATAAGCATATGAGGTGGAATTTTGTGATTCAATTGCACTACTCCTTTGATTTTGTGCTTGCGTTGTTGATACGATTGCAGAAAGTTATTATATTCAAGATGTAATTTTGTTTCTTGATGTATAAGTGAGGTACCCATTTTCCCAATTTGTCTTTTTTTTCTTTCTATCTGCTATTAACTGCAGAGAAATTGGAGGTGGATCATGGGATTCTTGGTTTGTGCCACTTGAGGGGCAGGTAAAGTTATATTAATTTCTTTTATGGTTCTTATGAGATGAGACATTATTCTCATGTCATGGACTGAATTTGTTGTTGTGCTTTTGTAGTCAGCAGAGGTTTGTGATAAGGTGAAGCAAATGAAAGAGCTGAGGGAGGGTTACAACATAGTTGGTCTCTCGCAGGTAAATTAAAGTTATCTGGATTGCTTGAGCACATGCAATTTTTATCTCTTGCATAAGTATATGCAATTTAATGCTAAATTTCTTCGACTGTGACTCATCCTTAATCTTTTATTTGGTTAAACAGGGTAACTTAATAGGCAGAGGTGTTGTAGAGTTTTGTGATGGTGGACCTCCTGTAAGAACCAGCTTTATGAAATTTTATTGTTTCTTTTTTCTTAGTTGTTGCCCTAGAATCTGTTATTACTTGAGGCACTCTCCCATTATATGCTGTGAGGATTATTTTTCCCTTGATACTTAAAAGGCAATTTTGTTTCTAAGTCTCATCCTCTCGCTCATGAAACAGGTTCGGAATTTTATCTCCTTAGGAGGACCCCATGCTGGCACAGCTTCTGTTCCTCTTTGTGGTGTAAGTACCATCAAGAACCCTTTTTTCCACCCTCTTGTAGGGTTCAAATATAAAAGCTGAAACCAAATATACTTTGGCATATATCAACGTTGCTTTCAAAAGTCTGCAAAAGAACCCATTATATGGTTTTTATCTTTGTTTTTGGATAGTCAGTTAGTCACAGTCTTTAAAGTCCACGTGGAAGTTCCTATCTCTTCATTTTTAGCTTTTGATTGACAATTTGAACTGCATTTCATGGTGACATCATGAATAAGCCAATTTATCTATGTGATATCTGTTGTCTTTAGGTATCATAGAATAATCTCTGATTAGCATCCATAAAAATGAAGTTGCAACATACTGTTTTATTCTTATTCAAAATTCTATTCATTTTTGTTGAAGTGATTTTGTGCATTTGCAGTCAGGTATATTCTGCATAATTGTAGATAGGCTGCTCAAGTCAGAGATATACAGTGACTATGTCCAAGTATGCATCTTCTCTCCAAGACTCCTTTAACTCTAGATACAATCAATTTTAGTTTTAAGCTTTTGAAACATTGCAGTTTGTGATTGATTGCTTTCTTTTGTTACTATTGTTCTAGTGTTTTTGTTCTCATTTTAATGTCTTCGATATTGCTTCATATGAACTTGGGTGTGTTGCTTGCAGGATCATTTGGCTCCAAGTGGTTATCTCAAATTACCCAATGTGAGTGATACACATGAGAAATATTGTGGCTTTTGTTACGAACATTTTAAACTGGCTTTATTGCAATAACTCAAAAATCATGCCATAATAAGGTGCTTTGACCAATCCAGGTTTTATATTTTCATCAGACACATTTTTAAGGAATCAAAATTTGCATATTATTATTAACCGGGGGGGCATATGAGGAGTTGCAATAGAGGTTCTACTGGCATTTTTATAAACATGTAAATGTATCAACATATTTGTTTGCTTTCTGTATCTACATTTCTAATAAGTTTCAAATTATCTTTTAATTTACAGGACATATCTCACTACTTGGAAAAATGTAGATTCCTTCCGAAGCTTAACAATGAAATCCCTGAAGAGAGGAATTCCACTTATAAGGAACGATTCACTAGTTTGCAAAATTTGGTGCTTGTCATGGTGTGTTAAGAATTCCTATTCTATTTTTAATTTGGATTGATCTCTGACAAATATCTCTTTTACTTTCATTTCCCGAGTTTTCTTGACTTCATTAGCATGCATCTGTTGATGTGTGTTTTCTCAATCCCAAATTTATTCTTCTACTTGCACAGTTTGAGCAGGATAATGTTTTGATACCCAAGGAAACTGCCTGGTTTGGATATTATCCTGATGGTGCCTTCAAGCCAGTTATGCCTCCTCACCAGGTATACTTTTTATTTGAAACATCTTACATTAAAACTGAAGAAAAGTAAACCATTTTTTTCGTCCCTTGCACTGCACTTCTACAGGCACATTAGGTCAGCTAGGTCAGTCTAGACCAATGTATACACATAATTAAAGGCACAGCAGGGCATTGAATTAAGTTTTAGTACACTTTACATGTTAATGATATCACTGTCTGTGCAGACAAATCTTTACACGGAGGACTGGATCGGTCTTAAAACCCTAGATTCTGCTGGAAGACTCCACTTTGTCAACGTTTCTGGAGGTCATCTTGGAATCTCTAGAGAAGATATGATAAAGCATATTGTGCCTTACTTGAAGAAGGATGGAGCATCATCTGTAAAGAACAAATTTGAAAGGACTTACACTAGGGTGGGTGGAGCTAATGGCAGGGGAATGCAGAGTAATAAGATAAAAGCTGTGCCTCAGTTAAAAGATAAAGAATCATCCAAGGTGATACTCGATGGATCATCTATGTACAAGTTGCCCTCATCAATCCAGAGCTTCACCATGGAATTACTTGGACTTGGAGAAGATAACTGATTCCCTTGTCAGAAATAAATAAAGAAGAAAACAAAAAAGGTGATTCCCTTGAAAACAGTCTCAGCCTGTGTCATATACTAGTGTAATTGACGCCTGAATATCATTATTATAAATATTAATCTGAACAGGGATCTATAATTAATATAAATTTTACGTGATTTATATTCTAGATTAACACATCTTGGATTGTATTGAGCCGAGTGTTTGTGTTATAGCCAAGTGGAGGCATTTTTTGCGAAACTGTTAGGACTCACCCTTGAAATGCAATTCCAAGATTGGGACGGCACAACTTCTCTTTTTTGGTTAGTTCAGCTACTTTGCATTAGGCTGACTTCCAACAGAAGTGGACTCCTAAACACGAAGGCACAATCCATGCTTGGCAGCTGTCGGCTAATTGCACAAGCAAAGGGAAATTTTCCACAGAATGCATCAATATAAACACTTGACGTGTTACGCAACTTTTGTCCGACGTGATTCAGAAATAGCATCCGGCTTTACAAAGAGAAAAGAGAAACACAGCTCTAGTTGCGTTGTGAAAACGTTATTGGTACTTATGAACGCAAAAGAAAGCAAAACATACAACCTCTTAAACTTCTTATGTGCAGATTCAGTAGACATGAATGTCTACACTAAAACTTCCCAGGCAGCTGTTCTCCCTAACCAGCTTCTCTGATGCAATCTTTTCGTGAGCACGACAGCGGAGCCAAAGGCAGGAGACCCTGGCAAGTGCTGCCTGACCAGCAACTCTAACTCGGCAGACCACACTTACATCTGCCCATATCTCACTTCCAACAGCACTAGATTCAAGAGATGGATCATATCCGTCAAGATCAGCTTCTGTTACCACTACTACGGAACCTTCATCAAAGGCCAAAAGATCTTGACAAGGAGCGTACTTTGGACTTGTCATAATTAAGTCAGCCACATGGCTGCCAATCTTTAAGTTAAAATGGTAAAATTCCTGGACAGCCTGCAATAGTCCAGAAAAAAAAATGGAACTATAATTCTTAATAACATGAAAAAGATAGTTTTTTAATTGGGGAGTTAATAAGAAAATATTTCCTGAACTTTGACTGCAGAGAAAGAGATCCACAATATTAACCTGCCATTGGCAAGGGGCTAAAAGCACCCTTGGCCTTATCGACTTCACATAACTGTATGCAGCTTCAGGGGTCATCTGCTTGTGTTGGACCTACATAAAATCACGAGTCATGCTAACAAAATCTTAAAAGAATTTGAAAGATGATATCAATTTTCAGTAAGAGTACCAACCAGGTAACATAAAACAATGGTTGTGCTACGCCCACGACCGGCTTTGCAGTGGACATATGTAGTTTGTCCATGTGAAGCATTTCCTTTAGTGGAGAGAGAGAGATTAGGTCACATAATATTTCCTCCAGAAGGACCAGTAAATGATAAATCAAAAGCTAAAAGAAAACAAGCAGAACAGTTGCACACTTACGATGAATGAAGTTCACTGCCTGACATATATCAGTAAGTGAAGGTGCAAAATAGTAGTCTCTGGTAGGAATCACCAGATGCTCAATGCCATAACTCTAGCAGAACCATGCACCATAAAAATGTGGAAAATCCAAATAAGTAACATTTGTAAAACATGAGATTCAAAGTGAACTTTAATAGAAACAACAGTAACATAAGCCCCTCAATAAATAAAGAAAAGAAATCAGTAGCAATCCATAAATAAGGGTAAGGAAAAGAAGAAGGTTTTTTTTTTTTTTTTTGCCAGGAGAAAATGAACAATTTCAACATTTGATTTATATAGATTTCCAGAAGTACAGATTCACACATCCATTGCAGTAGAAAATCAGCTAAAATCTCAGCAGATAAAGACTCCTTAGTGAATCAATCAGGTTATATATTGCCATTAAGACAATTTCCAAATTCCTGCAGCATGCCAGACAGTACCATGGTTTTTCTTTATTACCATACGTTTGTAATCCATTTCTTCAACTGCAGCCTTTTATCAGTCATGTCCAACAAATAAAATATCGTGAGTATTGAGAAACTGCAGAGTAAAAATGAAGGAGCACTCACTTTATAAAGAGAAGTTGGTACCAAAGTCTCATATGGTTCATTTAAAGTGATTACTCCTAAAACACCATGCTCCTTTAGCCTTGGAACATCAGAAGGGAACGGAACAGCACCTAAAAGGATAAACTGAAAGAAGAAATATATTAGAAATACAACCACAAATGGCTTCACGCCCACAGAAGAAATAAGACTTTTTATTTGCAAACTAATGGAGATCACTAATAGGCTTCACAAAATCATAAGAAGCGCAACAATCTTAATAATACTGATACTAATCATATAAAAGCAGAAAAAATTACCTCACTTTCATATCTTAAATGACATCATTCTAGCACTTTCTTTTAGCCAATAAAAACAAAAAAAGATAAGGGAAAAAAAATTTAAAAAAAAAAACCCTAAAAACTCAAAACTTGTATCAATTAAGTTAATAAGCACAAAAAAGCATAGCCTTAACTACAAAATAAAAACCAATTACAAGAAAATTGTAAAACAGGAGTAATTATACCTCATCGACTCTATCCCACCACCGGAATTCAGACTCAATCCTGTTCCTGACAACATTGTAAAGCAGAGTCGGGTAAAATAAAGCACGAGCCCCCGCACCTACCAACAACCTCTTCGCATCCAATATGACAACCCTTTTTTTGGCGGCAAAAGCACTGTCCTTTGGACAAACGCTGCTATTTTCATCTTCCCCAACTCTCTTCACCCCCTCTTCTTCCTCTTTCAACTCTTCAATATACATAGCCCCAGAAAAACACAACTATGGCCAAATACGCACAAAAATTAAAAACCCTAATCTCCCAATTTATCTATGCACATACGTATCGAGATATATAAAAATATTCAAATGGCACAATTAATCAACGCAAGAATAAAAAAAATTCTCACATTTCTTCACAAACAGCAACCCTAATCACCGAAAACCGAACAAGTAACGCAACAAGAGGGTAGAGAGGTAGGAATAGAAGGAAAGCGATTTGTGGAAGAAACAAACAGCATAATACGGCAAACGAGAGTCGATCGGGACGGAAAGAACAAGGCGGGAGACGGTGACGGGGTGATATGGAGGACGATGAATCGATCAGATCGGAAATAGATAGAGGAGAACAAGTAACGCTAGGAATCCTTCGTCGTTGAGAAATGGCGTCGATCGGAATAACCGAGGTCGTACTCCACCTTTTGCTCTAACCGAAAAGAGGCGAAGAAAAACAGATTAGATTTCAAAAGAAGAGATAAAGGGACAGGAGGGAGTTATAGGGGTTTGTGACAGTTGGGTTGGTGAATGACACGTGTTGTAGATGGTGGGTTAGGTGGAAGTTGGAACAACCATAAAAAATTACCTGCAACAAATCGTGACCGCTCAATTTTGTTAGGTGTAAAAAATTTCGGACAATGCTATCCATATAAATCTATTTCATAAAAATGATTTTTAAGACTGTTCCGACAGTTTTGATACTTCTTACAGCCGTCCATCATATGGTCCGTTGAGTGAAATTCATATGATGGATGGCTGTGATGATGCTAAGATTGTCAAACAGTTTTAAAAATCTGTAATCTCTATATGTATATATATATAAAAAAATTTTAACATAGGAGTTTTAGGATACTGGTTAATTATTATTAAATTATAATATTTAAAATTAATTTTATATAAAATTTTATGTAAGATTTAAATAAAATATAATATAAAATTTAAAAATAAGATAAAATATAATATTTATACTTGAAATTTATAAAAAAATATGTAAATTAATTAAAAATACCTTAATTAATAAATTTTAATATGTGTTCTAAGGATACAAGTTAGACAAAAAATTATTTATTTATGATTATAACATAACATTAAATGATATAATATAATATTAATTGAATCTCTACAATAATATTATAGATAAATTTTTAAATGAAATGAGTTAATTATATATCAATATATTATATTATAGATTTATAATGTTGCATAATATTATCACTATAACAATTTTTTAAAAAATTTCCTTTTTGTTTGATTTTAATTAATTCATTTCTTCAAGATAAAAATAATGTTATAATATTCACCAATTAACATGTCAAAAACTTTATTAAAGAAAAAAAATTGATTATTTTGTAATACATTACAAATAAGATTGAAAAAATTTCAGGGAAAAGTGGACTAGTAATTTGGAAAAACAAAATTATAAAACATTAATATGTTATGTTTTATTGGTAAACAATCACATACTTAACTACCCCAACAGAGCAGGTGCGAAGAGTTTTAGGTAGAAATATTGCAGATTTCCAAATTAAGTGAGGAGTGAAAATCTTTGATTTTATGTAGGATATATACAAGTTAATAAGATAATCAACATATTTTTTTAATATTTAATTTGCATAAAAAATTAATATTAATTTTAATACCTATGCTATCTAAATGATTTTAATTGAACTATTTATACATTAAATATCAACTTTTATTTTTTTTAATATAAATCAATTGTTAAAAAATATATTAAATGGCACAAATTAAAAAAATTATTTTTATATTTTACCTCCTCAATATAGAAAATCATTAACAATAGTAGTAAGTTTTCAATATTCGGCAAAAACCTATTTTTAGCTTTTTAGCTTTTTACCTTATTAGATTTATAAATTTTGGTCCCTCATCTTATATTATGATACTTTTAACCTCTCATATATTAGAATTGAAAAAAATAACTTCACTTTATAATATTTTGTTAATTTTGTTAGCTAACTGTTAATTATGTTAATTAAATGTTAACTCTATTAATTGAAAATAAGTTTTTACTAACTAATGTTTAGTTAATAATTGACTAATAGAGTTAACAGTTAACTAACAGATAACTGAAAATAGATTTTTACCAATTAATAGTCAAGTAATAGAGTTAACATTCAGTCAACAGAACTAACAAAATATTATGAGTGATGATTATTTTCTTTAATTCCAATAAGTAAGGGGTTAAATGTGTTATAATATAAGATAAAGAGTTAAAACTTATAAACTTAGTAAAATAAAAGGCTAAAATTATACTTTTGCCTCAATATTCTATCCGAACAAGGAATACTATTCATTAAATAATAACTAATGAAAATGAAACAACTTCTGAGGGAAG